ATTTACCATCTTGGCAGCAGGTTTTATTAAAATCTTATAAAATAAGTGCAAAGATATGCCAAGATTTATCGAGAGTCGAACATGGACGATTATGAGACACAAGATGTTTTCTTGTCGCACGGTGCAGGGTCGATATTGGCACAGTTATCATGAGAAATGTTTTCCGATGACATATTCATAGGTTCTTTTGTCGTTCTGGCTAAGCCATTTCTTTCGCGCTACCATGCTCGACTGTAGAAGACCCAGTATCCCTACTCTTAATACTTACACTACAATACAGATATCTGCTCCATTTAGAACACCCATTCTCCATCGGTATGACTTTGCGAACTGAAAAACGAGCTCCACTAAGAAAAGGTAAGGACTTTGTGCATTTCAAGTGTGCCTTGACCATGGTCTATGCCTTTCCGTCAGTCGTTGAGGGTTCGGTGACTGTAAGTGCCTTCGCTCCATGATGCATGTCTTTCACAAGTAAGAGAAGGCGCTCCAGAACATCTTGCTTGCTTCCCTGGAGGAAATAGATCCCCTAATGCTCTATTGAAATCAGGAATGACGGGAAGGATTGATCTCTCAACTGGGCCCGTTGTCGAGTTTTTCGGTTACCTGTCCTCCACTCTTGAGGTGAAGCCCCTTTTGTTCACGTTCCCCTCTCATCTTGATGCTCAGCATCCTTTCTAAGTGCTTTTGGGTCATCTAACGTCTCTGAATAGGACAAAATTGACGAAAGAGAAAGTAATCTTCCTACTTGCCACACTTTAACTCTTCTCTTCAGTATCGCTTTCCTCTCTCTCTTGACAGATTTCACTGCTCTCATATCCTCCTTAGCTCTAGGCACTTTTCACTGTTTGGAAGACGGACATGTCTAGCATCGAATTATAACACTTAGTTCTTCGTAATTGCATCCGCTTGCTACTTGGCTTTCATGCCAAGCTTTTAGTAATTTTCGTGAGCGGGAAGTTTTCTTATATGCCCTTTTTTCCACTACGACTGTACTCCCTTGCCAAATCATCATCACTTTGCTATCCTAATTTCATTATCGAGAATCGTGTGGAATTTATTCTGATGGGACTAGAGACTTTGAGTACTAATATTATTGTACAATTCCCATGCTTTAATACATGGCAATAAAGAGGGCACCTTCAACCTTCCTTAATTAGGCCTAGAGATGGGATAATTCTGCCCTTCATGAGGTCAGCAAATTCAATGATTATACAGTAATGGTGTTTGTAGTTATATAGCTATTTCAAATCGGTTCTAAAACCTCCTTCTCATATTTCGATAACCTCGCTTATTAACCTAAGAGCATGGTTTCTGCGCACTACAGCTACAGCAGAGCAGGAACTCTGTGTTACTTCTGATTCTTATTAATTTTCAGTTTTTCTTGTAAACTACGTTTTATCTCTTTCAACTCTCAGCCTAAACATTACGCTATTACAGGCATCACTTCTGCGGCCCTGAGAGGAGGTATTTTTTAAGAACCAAACTCGTTGCTTTTCGAGGAATAGCGTTGTCACTTAGTTTTTCGTAACCACTAAAATTTCGTAGAAAGTAACCGGCGGCTATTCCAATTTTTGACTCCCAAATGCGAATTTCGGGGCAAGATGGAGTTTGAAGACAAGCGAAAAGAATCCCACACTCATGTCGAACAACGTGTATTTTACAGAGCAACTTGGCCGCCCATCCTCAACCTTGATCTGATGAAAATGATAGCTCACATCCACAAATTGAATTCAACCAGTTTCTTAGTGATCTTTCAGGTTGTTTGGAAAAAACTTACGATTTTCGAGCACATCACAAGATTTTATTTGTCTTCTTAAGTGAAACTTAATCACTGATATAAACGCAACTTTGTTAGATAATCTTTTGCTATCCTTCTAGTAGTTTCATAGCTTCGTCGTAAAACTTCCGGGTTATTGCCAAAAAACTGGATTACGTGAGATTTGATACACTCACCTTCGATAAGGATTCGCCTATCGAGGTAATTCTGCAACAAAGCAAGAAAAAATCGTTTTCATCAATCATTACGAACAACCCAATAATTGAGGCCCAGTAGTCCCTGCTGCTAATTTCCAGTTGAGGAACGATCAGACTATCAACAAGTTTCATTCGGAAGTAACAACATATGCCATGGACCAATCAGAATAATCTGTGAAGAACAATAAAAGTCATGAAAAAATAGTAAGCTCGAATCGATTCGTAAAGTATAAAATGAGACACAATTCAAACCATAATCAAAGGTTGAGATCGCTCGGTTTTCGAATGGGAAATCGAAAATTCCGATCGGGATGTACTCAACATATAGACTTTTCTTCAAGAGTCGATGCTGACGACCTCTTTACCGCTACCGCCAACGAATAGCACTCGCTGCAGATTCTCGGTCAACACGTCAAGATAAACCTGGAACAGATTGATTAGTCGGTATTCACGATTTGAGATTTACATTGCACCAATCAAGATCATTAGGATTCAAAGCTCATCTAAAGTGGAGAAACTCGTCTCGCTAATCCACTAGAGTAACTAAGGATTCGAAAAAAAGGTTGAATTATTTCTCATGGAGTTGTTCAGTGTCCTTAACATTCAGGCAATACTCATCCATAATGCTAACATTACCTAGGGCTCTTTGGATGCATACTCCTTTCCAATTATTTTCACAAAATCACGAACGCATAGGTAAGCCGGTACCTTGATGATAAATATATTGCGTAGGCGTATTTATAATAACACCAATGACTTGAAATGTGGCCCCCAGGAGAGCGAACGCGTTAGTCTATAAAATGCTGGAACAGCATGGTCCAGCTAAATTGCCACAGGCCTGATTCCTTAGCGCTATAAAACCGTACTTACTACTACTACTACTACTACTACTACTACTACTACTACTACTACTACTACTTGCCATTGCTATGAAATACTGAGACAAGAAATTCAAAAGCACAGTTCACGATGAAAATAACTTTTCAGATAATCCGCAGAATGAATTTGTAGGACCCCCGTATGCCGTACATATGTGGTGCTGCCGTACATATGTGGTCTTCAGGTCTAGAAAGGGCGCCATAAAGGCCTAAACATTATACCGTGTCTCGGACGAGTTTCAACGGCATTGTAGAGCCGCACCAATCGCAAGGAAGCCAATGTAGAGAGATCAAACAACTTGTCATGATCAATAGCGGCAGTGAAGGGCAGCTCTGTACAGTTCTGCTTGACGTTTTCAGCTATTTGTGCAATTGCACCAAGTAAGGTCTCCCCCGACAATCTTCAGTACCCATGAGCTATTCTCACACTACACCTCCTCTCTTCGACCAAAAAGGAGTAATTAAAATTATCGTGGAATGTGCCTTCGAACTGTAATTGATCTGCCCTGTACACAAGCTGTGTTAGTAAAATTTTGCAGCTCCTTTTAAATTCCAGTTTCCCTAAAATACATACGGTATCGGCTTACGATACGGCTCAACAGCACGTGGTCTACGATTCTAAGAAATAATGCAACATTATGCCAAAATCTTTTCATAACTAATTTTATCACTTAGTCGATTCTTGCATTTAGATGATTTTCAGTGACAAACTCTGCATCTACATTTTGAATAAAGCAAAGTAGGATGAACCATGTAGTTGTGTTGAAAAGTAGTCCGATGTTTTGGTGGGCGTGGCAGGTTTAGAAGCACAAGCTGTGAATTTGGTGAACTCTCGTTGATGACGTGATTCAAGCGTACAGCTGTGTTCATTTTGAGTAGCTGGAAGCACTCAGGATTACTCGACATATTAAAAGTAGAAATCGATTCGCATGAAATTGAAACGCCAGGCGACTTTCCTTCCCGACGATGACTTCCCTTATAACAGAGCATTGGATTTTCTGGATCGTTCGTATATCCTATTTGTTCTAACGCTTTTACCCTTCGGAGTGATCACATAGTGAGTTTTGCAAGGGATGAGACTATGAGTGTGATGTTCTAAAAAATAGTATAGCATAAGACTGTGCAGGGTGTGGTATCTTTCCTCCGAGAACCGCATCGCGATCGCCGCACGCGATCAGGTGCCATCGTGCGACACGAAGGGGAAGGTTCCAATTTCCAGTGGAAACCCTACGTGTAAGCGGTTGCGTCGCGGTTCGCGCTATGGCACGTTATTTTGGGATGTCTACGCGACGGAAGGCCTTGATGACAGGAGATCTCCTCCCTCGTAACTCTGCTTATTGGTGGTTAATAGCGCGTTCGACAACGTTATTCTAAGGTTATTACTAATTGTAAGGAGTAATTTTCAGCGATCAATGAGCTGTTAAACTATGGTTCGGTAATGCATATCTCTTTTCCTGCATTTTTCCTCGTTCATGTTTCTTCTAAGACTACTGATGGGTAGTTACCCTCCCCTAGTGAATGACAACTGAACACTGTTTGACTATGTTTTCTTTTTTTCTGTTGCATGCTTCTTGGTTTGTATTACTTCTGGGACAACTACTGAGTAATTACCTTCACTGATAGAGTGTTGAACACTGGTTTAGGGATATGCCAACTTCTGTACAATTGAGGACACTTCGCACCTCGGTGCAAGGCGATCTCGATTAGGTGTAAAGACCACATCTTCATTGTGCTGTCTGCATATCTTTATCAAACGAGTAAAAGATAAAAAACTGAAGAGAATGGCAACAGTAAGAAGTTAAAGCATTTGAGAAAAATTATGAACTGTAATAATTTTGATAATGCTGCTTAGGAGTTTTTTTGTGCACAGGTGAGATGTGAAATGCGAAGCGAAGCGGAATATTTTACAGAGCTATGAGCCGCGACTTTACTGTTTTTTTTATTCTGCACAAAATCAACACTACAGCCATTATAATGGGGGGTTAAGACCTAATTTTTTTTATTGAAGCTTTGGTTTTTCACTGCTGTTATTCTCTTCCTTCAATAACTTTGAATTGCTTCATATCGATACGCGGGCAACGCAATGATTGTCGGATTTCCACACCTAATTAAAACGCCTCCCGCTCTCATGCCTTGCCTTTGTTTCAATCTCGATCTAATCTGCTTTTCTGTTTTTCACGCAGTCGCTGGCGATTACACACAACATGTGGACGTTTTTCAAACCTCTTTTTAGCTTGAATATAATCATCCATAGCCTTTCTCGATTAGCTGAGTTGTATCAATCAATCGTACAGAAGTTGGCATACCCCTAAACCAGGGTTTAACACACTATAGGTCAAGGTATTTAGAAGAAACACAAACCAAGAAGCACGCAACAGGAATAGAAATCATAACCAAACAGTGTTCAGTAGTCATTCACTAGGCGAGGGTGTTGCTTCCTCCTTCATGTTTCTTCCAAGACCACCTATCAGTGGTCTTGGAAGAAACATGAAGGAGGAAACATGCAGCAAAGAGACACGCATTACCAAACTATTTTTTAACAGCCCATCGAACGTAGGAGGTTACTTCTTACAATTAGTGATTTCCTCAGAATGAGAGGTCGAACGCGCTACCAACCGCCAATAAGCAGAGTTACGAAAGAGGAATTCTCCTGTCATCAAGGCTTTCCAGTCGCCTAGACCCCCCAAAATAAGGTGCTGTAGCGCGAACCGCGACGCAACAGCTCACACATAGGGTTTGTCTGATTTTGTTGTTTAAGTTTTTATTAAGAAATACAGGAACAAAGGAATAACAGTAGAATCATGCCTTAAATAGGGATCGCATGTCAACTGAGCTGTTAGAAGAGCGCTAGAGCTGTAATAACGGCGAACGTATGGTCCGCGACAGCCGCGTGCGGCGAATTGATTGCAGAAAACATTTCTTACTGCCCGTCTCCCCGGCGCACGTAACGGACTGTGAGGGGACCTAGTGAGCAGTAGTCGAAACTTTTCCACCAAATCTTATCGCCACCTACACTCTATTTATTCTATGCACCATTGGAATATTAGATTGACTTAGGCAAAATGCAATCAGGAAATCGCAACTCCACATGTACGGTGGCTAAGCCATTCGTTATTGCCCCTTTTTCCAATTGAAAGCCATCATTAGCAAGCAATATCGCAAGCGTGATCTCAAGTGCGATAGTGTTACGTTTTCGAAACTACTAAAATGAATACCTACATTCAACTTCACATCGCCTCCGCAACTGTCTTCGCTGGGAGTGTAGAGACCATCAGCTGGATTGCTAAATGTTCTCTTATTAGGTGTACTTAAGAAGTTCACGTCGGAATTAACTGCTTTTTTGGGAATTTCTGATGTTATCACTCCGCCCTAATGTACAAAAGATGTTCGAGCAAAAATCCACAACTCCTGACAAATCTCACACAATGCTTATAGAGGTGTGAAAAGCATAAAAATCAAAGTTTTCGTAGTATTATAGCATAATGAATCAAACTGCTGCACTGACAAGGGCTCTCGACATACCTCGGAAGCGCAAGTTTCCTCAGTAGTAGCGCATTGCTAAACCAACAGAGTCAATTTAAAGGGGAAAGATGTTAGATTTGATAATGAGCCCTGATATCTCATGAGTAGCCAGTTTCGCTAAGCGCCGCCTCCCGATGGGCTGTCAGCACGTAAAATGCACGTAATTATTATTAAAAATGAAGCCTTCCATGGCTACAATCGTTGAGATGAACCCACTCAATGAATGACGTTTCAGCATCTTCCGTGATATTGATAATAACAGGTGTGAAACTTCGAACGGAGTCGTCTGAAATTTACAAGATGTACAAGAAACGGCCTCAAGAAAACATTTCCTGCAAGTCGAACAGGTCCTCTTATATCAGCAATCTCGAAGCGTGACTAATTTGGGGTGTGTGAATATTTTACGGAGACTTTAGAAGACCTTGACAGTTGACATGAAATTTAAAGTGATGCTCTAAATAACTAAGTTTTCAGTTGTTGAAAGAATATCAAGTAGATTAAATGAACTACCAACCCCTTGCTAAGTTACTCATTCCAAAGTTTCCATGTGGAAGATTCTGTTGACACATGCTGAAGTCGACTTTTGGTTCCCTTTCAAGTAAGGTAAATTATCATATGGGCTCTTTATCAAATCAGTGCTATCGAATGTGTGTTCACGTTGGTGCACTTGAACACACAAGAGTTTCCAGCGACTGTCCTGTCTAAAGCGGCACTTTCTACCGCGATGAAAGATTTGAAAGAAGCGAAATTCATGTACTTCTCAAACTCGGCCTCCATCATCAATCGTAGATAATTTTGCGTCTGTATCCGACCCTCTACTCATTGCTTTAATTTTGAAGAAAGTGCATGAGTCGGATTGCCCGTCTAAGCCGAGCACTCCTTTTCTCGTGAAATTTACCCGCACCGTGCATCCTTGCAATTTTCAACGCTCTAGTTCAAGAGAGCAGGGGATGTAAATTTTCCTCGAAATACACACACATACACACACACAGGCCTTAGCGCGTTAAATATGTAAGATACTTATGGCCATAGGAATTCCCGTTTTAGTTGTCTTTGCAGATGCTTGTACATAGTTACACTATTTCTGAAGACGAACCGTGTAGATAGATGCGGATTCAGGCCCAAACTCCTTTTCTATAGAATAGCAAGCGACATCTTCATACGACCTACTTGGACTGGAAAAGAATTACTCAGCATCAGTCGGGAAAAGTTAAGCATGTGAACCAATTTCAACCCCAGTTTCATAAAAGATTGCCTTCGGGGAATCCACAAAGGTAATCACAATGTCACGAAGTTTTTGGCACCTGCGAAGTTCGCTCGAATGGAGTGCTGGAACCCTCAAGCCCTACAAAAAAAGATCGACGCGGAACTCTACAACAGACAGATTCACAAGTTGGTCACAGTAACACAGGTCAGAAACCTTGAACTAACGCTAACGTTGTGCTTTGACTACCAGTCAGGCAAGCTTTTAGACTTTACCCCTGACTTTTCAAACCAATGAAAGCATTTCATCCGATGTTCAAACTTCGATTCATGGAGTTTCCAGTTGCCCAAACTTCAGAAACTAAAAAAAAAAAAAAAAAATAAATAATCAGCACTCACACACTCTAAGTTGTTTTCGGCTGTTGATCGTATCGTCATTGTTGAAGGCCTCATTAGTGAAGCCGCTCTCTCGTGATTTACTACGCTTAAAAAGAAAATTGGTACCGCTGTACATAGCAAAGGATTATCTTTGAAATGGTTTTAAAGATAATCCTTTGCTATGTACTTGGAGAGGTTTTGCCTTTACACAGGAAAGAGAAGGACTCATAGAAACCGACCCGAATCTGACTTCTGATTGTCTGCTGTTGCCTCTCAAGTTCGGCTGTCTTTTCCACGACCTCATCCGAAACTTCCATATCGAGTAGATTGACCATCTAGAAAAAAAATTAATAGTGTGGAAAGGTCTTGCTCAAAACTTACGTTTACTTGGACTTCCTACTTCTGAAGTGTAATAGTGGCAAACAAGTTCAGCAGGCAAAAAGCTACTATAATTATGGTGCTATGCGGGGAGTACATTCATGCCAATATCGACGTCAATCTGGTAGACTCGATTCAATCAGTTCGATAATTATTCTCCCCAATGAGAAGAGACTGCGTCAGACGAACAAGCTGGTGGCCTGATTGATTACAGCTAGACGGAATAAATGATCGAGCGGCTGATGTTCTATTTTCCTTGTCGACATCGTCGAAAAGCAATAGACAAGAACCACTTTTTGAACCACTACAAAAGTAACGTGGGAAGTAATGAACTGCCAAGCATTTTCAATGAACCCACGAAAACGTCGGCATCGATCCGCAGCATATAAATGTATTTTTGGAGTCCTTTTCGAATCTCTTCGTTTTTCGAGGGATCATTATCGCCAATGGCAAAAATGCGAAGCGTACAACCACGCCACACCTAAATACTTTGCATGCTTTCTTGCCTGTCGTCTGAAAGGGAAACAGTTGCCATCATTTACCTTATGCTGCTTAAGGAGGTAAGCAATCAGCATCAGAATACCTCCATCCATCACCACCCACCAGATGTCGATACATCTGAAATTTTGAAATCAGCTTTTGGATAAATGTATTACAATTTCGTTATTGTCAGAATTTTACTATTTCTATGTAGTTACCCGAACACATACTCTAAACACCCACAACATATACAACGCAACGAAAAGGTACTCTCGGAAAGGGTCACGGGGTTAGGGCTAGAGCACACGGTATATTGTACCACATGCACACGAGACGTTAAAATCTGACTTCTCTCCATTCTTCAAAATATGCCTTCACTAGTTCTTGGTGTCTGACCTGAAGTGTCTCCCCGGAGTCGCATGTTGCGATGGCATGTTTAACAGTAGGAGGTTTTATTATAAAGTGAAAGCGTTGTTGCAAAATAACCTAGTACACTCAAGAACTCGAGAAGACTGTAGCAAAATGAGAAATTCGGTCATGAGGCAACAAGTTGTGAACATTGTGCAAACCTTGATGGCTAGAGGGAACGCAGTAATTGATCGCTATCGGCTAGACGTTCGAATGGTTACGTGACCACTCGAACCTCCTTTGCGTTCTCTGACGACGAAAGGTCGAAGCGCAGAGGAAGGCACTCTAGGTGTGGTGCAGTTGAATCGAAGTGGTCGTTTAGCGGCGAGAGCGACGTCGCGAGCGAAGGAATTTAGCAACGAGTAGGGAACACAAGAACAAAAGAACTAACAGTAGAATTGTTGGATAAATAATAATAGCACAAGTTCAGGATGGGTTGGGCATAGGGCAAAACCAAAAGAGCACATGTGAGATCAGAGAAGCTCCGCCTCCAGGGGTGGAACATGCACAAGAGTGGGTAGTGACATGGGCAAAACTTGAGTGGGTACCTAACAGCCCAGACGCCGAGAAAAAAAATAGGCAAAGTAGAGGGACAGGTCAACAAATAGAATGAAGAAGAGGCAGTGGGCGGCAGTCTCCGCACACTGCCTCTTCTTCATTCTTAGGTTCTTAACTAACTTCAACGAGAGCGTGGAGGCTAAAAAAATAAAAGGAGTGAGCAGGGCCTTATGGTGGTGGGCACGCGTGCATAGCAAAGCTACGCCCACGATAGGGGGCATGGCTTAATGTTAGGTTCTTTTTGAAAAAGCTCATAAATCTATTTGAAAACGTTCTATAACGTTAAAAGGAGTGCTTAGAGGCTGTAGAAGGAATGCGGCCAAAACCATGAAGTAAGCGGGGTTTGCACTAATTGTAAGGGGAGGGGGCGGGGCCAAGAACAAATATTTGTAAGTCTGTTCAAAAACGTGTAAGAAAGTGCGAAAGAAGTGTCTGAAGGTATCAGAGCGAGTGTGGCCGAATCCCCGGAGTGGGCGGGGTTAGCCAGATGACTTTCTCGAGAGGCGGTAATCAAAAGGCTAGATGGACGGAACAGGGACGGTGTCATTCCCTCACCAAGCACTATTTGAGAAAGTAGGCTTCGCTCTTCTCAGATCGTACAGTGCTCTCTAGAATTGCTTTCTATTCATTCTGAAGAAGATGGTATCCAAGTAAATTAGCGTCCTACTAAAACCAGTAAGGTGCTGATTAGACCGGAAGCCTCAGATAGGTATGCTTCTCAAGCCGACTTTCTGTATCATTCCCTGACCAAGCACTATCCGAGAAAGCAAGCTTCGCTCCTTTCAGATCGAACAGTGCTCTCTAGAATGACTTTCTAATCATTTCTGAAGAAATTGGCATGCAAGTGAATTAGTTTTTTAATGATACCAATAAGATTCTGATTAGTGTTGGAAGCTTTTGATATGTATGCTTATCTTCTTTCTCTATCATTCTTTGACCAAGCATGCACATCCTAGAATGACGAACTCAAGATGAGACAGTGTTTTCCAGAACTGTTTTATAACCGCTCTGACGAAGTGCGAGAAGTAGTATCACATGAATCCATTTCAAAAGTAAAAGTTGTGATCATTCACGTTGGAGCAATTGTACCGAAGTGGTAGGCGGGAATGTGAAGGGGCTTCCCGACTTTGACACAAGAAGGAGGATGCCTGGCGCAGCCGGGCTTTACATAAGAAGGAGGAGAGCCCGGCGTTAGCTGGGCGATCCAACTGGTAATAGCATAATATGCAGAAATAGCAGAGCTGTATGAAGCCCAATGAGCCTACCTAATATGCTCAAATAGCATAGCTGCATGAAGTACACTATAACTGCAATAATGAGGAAACTAGAACCACAACTGCCGCGTGCGGCAAATCGAGGGCACAGCCGCTACATTCTGGGGCCGTAAAGTATGCTCTCCTGTTCGGGGCTGGGACGCCCCGATTCGGGCCTCCCCCAGAATGGCGTCCCCGAAAGCAGCCGTAAGGTGTGCTCGCGGGGCGTCTCAGGGGAGTCAGACATACAGAGCGTCGATGGCGCTTAAACGTTGACAAGTTGCCAAATCTTGTATTTAGGCTTGAAAAGCTCCCAAAATCAAGATTTAAGTTTAGGATAACATAAAATCTAGGAGTAAAATATCTTGAGGGTGTCATCCGGTGCGGGGGCATCAAGTGGCTGCCCTCACCACCCACTCCCCTAAAATGCCTACACTCCCCCTGCTGCACAGGTTTGTTGATGTATGGGACCTCTTGAGCCAGGGGAAGTGCAGGCAGTCTAGGGGGAGGGGGTGGGAGTTACAGCAGCCACTTGATGCCCCCCTTACCGAATGAGACCTTATCCTGTTAGCCTGAGCAAAAAATCTCTAGAAGTTTTTCAACCTCCTCTACTGCGTTATCTTAGCGTCGCCTTTTTTGCGTATCTAGTCGCTTAGGTTGACGTACTACTTGAACTCTGCCTTTCAGTTGCCTCTGTCCCGCTCTCGTCTGCGCTCTCTCGCAGTGTCGGCGGCTGATGACCATTGTAATTCACATATTCAAACTTTTGCCTCAGTGTAGCTGGCTCATCCACCTAAGACTTCCTCCTTACCCTTAGGGCTCCCACCTCCCTCCTTGCGATTTGGAGTCGCGCCAGGTGTCGTTTCGGCACAGGATACCCAGGGTTTACGGACTACTTGAACTTCTTTCCTTCTATAGTCCTGCCGCCATTCGCATTCAGTTCCAGTAAAAATGAAAATATTACCTCCATAGTTGGGTTTCGCCCGACCTCTAACCCTCCCTGGACGCCCGAGATTCTGGGTCTTTCTTTTATTGCTTTGAATGCTCGCTTTTGGCCTGCAGTTAGTCGCGGCAGAGTCGCCATTTTGCCGCCGCCTTTTCTCCCATTTCGCTGGCCTCAAATGTTATGTTATGTTTATTACGCTGCTAAGGCAAACGTAGTATAAAAT